AATGAGTTCAGTTCATATCATTTGAGTAAGGCATTTCTGAGGCTTACCTCCATGTCTGTCAAACAAAGGTGTTGAATTAGACTCAATTCTACAAATACATGGCTTTTGGATCGTATTGATTTTGAATCAAATACACATTTGTCTCCAAGCACTTCTTATACTTCTGGATATATATTCTACCTAAATAGAAGCTGTTTTTATTTTCTCATTTGTGATCCAGCTATAATATCCTGTTGTTTAATATTACTTTAGACCATAAGTTCATAAAAGGAACACTAATGCTAAACAGCTTTCCCTTTTCAATGTACAAATCCTTTGTTAGGAAAATACAAATGAAGTTGAAATGGTTATGAAATACATACATTAGAAATTTCTGTAGACTGTGTTTACATTAAAACAATGCTTATAGCATGTGTATATAATCAGCTTCTCTTATTCCAGTGTGTTATGAGAATTAGAAATATACTGTTATGACTATAATACATGAATGAATAAAATAAGTATTAACATATAATGTGTAAATAAAAATTGATACTTTGATGTTTGCTCCTCTCATTTAAAAAAACATAACAACCTTAAGATGTCCTTTCCTCATAGAGTTCCTCTATTAGTTAGGAACAAGAATGCTTTTAAAAGGTCAAACTATTCCTTGTGAGAACATATTTCATGAGATTACTCAAATTTTTACTTTTTTGCTATCATTTATCCTATTAATAAAAATGAGTTCAAATGTAGAGATAAAAACACATCAAGATTTATTTTTATATAAAGGGAACTCTGGTGGTCTAGTGGCAAGAAACTGCACATGCACTGAAGGCATGTGGTTCGAATCCACCAGAAGCTCTGCTGGAGAAGGAAGGGCAATCTCTTCCTGTGCCAGTTGTATCCGATTTTGATAGTACATAACAAGAATTTTTAAAAAAATTCTTTTTATATAAACATATATATTCTATAAAAAGAAAGTCATAAATATACTAAGGATTAGGACAACATATGGTTGGCCTTTTGGATGCACATTTAAATGACAAAGAAAACATTTTTTTAGGGTGAGAGTGTGAAACTGATTTATAAGGATTCAATTTTACTACGGCCAGGTACAAATTTTATTCTTTGGTACTGTTTCTACATTAAAATATCTTTTTCAACCCACAATCTTGTTTACAAATAGACAAAAACATATGCGAGGATTTGCTTAATAAAAATAACTGCTGAAGAGGATGAGTCTTAGACAATAATAGTAATAAGCCTAAGTGAATTAAATGTACTTGTGAGCATGATGGAGTTTTTCAGCTTAGAAACTGGCAACTTCTATATCCATGTCTCTGCTGAAGCTATTAAAAAAAAAAAAAATAAAAGAATCATTTCCCAGAACTACAGGTGCACAACAGATTGGAGCCATTATGCAAAAGAACAGAAATCTGGAGAGAAATAGAGTGAATAAAAAAACCATGTTCCTAACCACACTCTTTGCCTTTAACTCCTTTTTATTTCCGCTCTATTGGACCTGAAATATGTAAAAATTATCATAGGTTTTAAGTAATTAAAATAAAATGAGAATAGGAATGCCTTAAAGAAATCTCCAGTTAGAGTTATCTTGAGGTAAATAGAGTTTTTTTTTAAAAAATAAATAAAACCTTGGCATTGATCTATTTTAAATACTAATTATAAGTAGGGTAATCAACCAATTAGAATGTATTGTATGACTTTTAAAGAGTTTGGAGTCCACCAGCTACTTTTAAGGTAAAAGATAGTATTCTGGCAAAGTACAGCCTTTGATAACTTGCTGGAAGGGAATTCTGGAGGTCTAGTAGCAAGAAGCTGCTCTCCAGTCCCAAAGGCACCCTGCTCTAATCCACCAGCTGCTCCCTTGGAGAAGGCTGGGCAGTCTCCTCCCCTGTGATTCACTGTTTCTGAAAATCTGCTGGAGCGTCAGCTATGAGTTGGTTCAGATTGGAAGGAGCAACCAAGCTTTTGTTCTGAGTGGACAGCAATGAATTTGAAGTTTTTTTAGTTTCCAGTTCAAAGGAATCTCATTGATTTTCTAGGCCACTTTAAGCATTGAAATTTTTATTTCAACACTAGTGTACAGCCCCAAATGCTCATATCCCTGTGTTTTTTTAGAGTCTTCTAAATAAGAGTTGTGAGAACTAGAATTTGCTTTTGCTTTACCATTGTTTTTGTGATTCCTGGTCAGAATGTTCTTCTTCTTGTCATCAGAACTTAACAAGTCTAAAATTATTTTTGTCACATGTCCTCCTAAGGGTTCAATTTTTCTTCAGACTAAAAGGAAAGAATAAGTAAAATGAAGTAAAAAAGAAAAGGTTAAGGAAGGAGAGGGAAATCTGAAAGCTAGCTGGAAACAAAAACAGAGAGTAGGGATGTTCAGGTGTTGAGGATATGAGACTTGTATAGCAGAGAAGAGCAAATGTTCTAACGCAAAGATAGGAACTAGGCTGGGCAGTGCAGGGATGAATGGAGTTGCTCCAGAGAGCTATGCTAGTGATGAATTTATTGAAGTTGAAGAAGAAATTGGATGTAGTGAGAAATGGCTGTATAGTAGGGACTGGGTGACAATACGAAAATGTTTACCAGGTAGTGGGGAAGAACCAAAGACGAAAGAATTCAGTTCTTTTGTTTCAGAGGAGCCAGGCCAACTCTTGGAAACATTATGCCAACTGCTGTTGTAAAAAGGCATCTTATGTCTGTGTAGGCCACTCAGCATTCAACTTGGGCAGTGACCTTCAAAACTCAAAGTCACTGCCTTGGACTAGATTTCACTCATAGACCTTGCATTGGGTTTCTGAGGCTCTAAATCATAAATGGAGGTAAGACAAACTATCTTTCTCCCGTGGAGAAAAACCCAGTGCCATCAAGTCATAATTGGCTCACAGCAATCAATCCTTGAACGGGTTTCCTGAGGCTATTAACACAGAAGGAGAATGCCCATCTTTCTCCTGGGGAGCAGCTCAGAACTCAGAAAAGGTGCCACGTTCTGATTAAAGGTATAATTCCCTAAAGGACAATACCACCAGGAGGTGACTTTAGGGAATCAAAATGACACTTTTAAAAGCATCCATCTTAAGTTTGTCTTTTTACTTCCCCTGTCGTTCTTTCTTTTTCACTCGATCTTTCCTAAAAAGCGTCAAGTTTTGTTTTGCTTTGCTTTCCAAGCAGTCAATCTAGGACTCACATAGAAAAGGGAAGTTGGGTAAAGTATCCTGAGAGAAAAGGTTAGAAGGAGAAAGTCCTTAAAGATTAAAGGGACACTTGAGGCTGTGATAAACTGAAGTAGGAAAGATTGGGGAGGAGACAGGAAAGGGGCCCGAGATAAAAAATGTGAAAACTGGAGCGGCGTGGGTGAGGGTCTGCGGGACTGGAGGAGCAGCAGGGCGAGGAAGTGGGAGTCTAAGGGACCTGAGTGTGTCCCGAGATTGCGAGCTGCTGCTCTCACCATTGTCCCTGTGGCTTTCCGCCTGAAAGAGCATTGTGAAACATTTCCTTCCTCTTGTGTCATTGAGCCCCTCCTCCCTCTTTTTTTTTAAGAGCTGCTCAGCTTTCTCTTAGGGGCCTAGAGGTGGGAAAGCATAGCTTTTCCCCCCACTTTGTTAACATGGATGCGGCCTTTTCTCTTCCTGGTGGGAAGGGGCGGGTGGGGTTTCAGGGAAGGAAACGGGCTACTTTATTCTCCCTCAGTACATGCATTAGCCCCAATGACCACCCAGGGCCTTAGAATAAAAAAGTGGGGTCCTTTGACGTTTTTGCCAGTCTGGCCTACGTCCTGTGGTAGCTGTAAGAGGGTAAAGTCCGAAATTGGGCGGGAGTTGATACACTTCTGGAATGAAGGGAAAGCGCAATTCCTTCCTCAGGCTCTTGGGAAATGAACAACTCATTCCAATTCACCTTTTCCGGAAATGCGAACCCAGGTCCCTACAGAGAAGTCCCAAATGCTGAAAAGGGGGTGCGACTGGGGGCAATGCAAATTACTTTGAAAATTAGGAGCAGGGAAAGTGTCCCATTCTCCCCCGCCCCAGGCATGCTTACTAGAGGCGGCACCGGGCCAACCTAATTTTCCCCGAGAAAAGCTGGGGCTAAGAGAATGCACACTGTTGGCCAGGGCGTGGGGATGTAGATGGGGTGGAATACTTTTCTCGAAAAGGCAGGGCTGGCACGTCTCCTAGATTGTAAAAAGGGGTGATGGGGGTTGGGTGGGGCGCGGAGACAACTTTTCAAGCAGGGGCATCTTGGAAAAGGGACTGAGGTCTCCCTCCAGGGAAAAATGTTGGGGCACAAGAAGGGTACACTTGCGCTAGGGTGGTGGCAGGAATGGAGGGTGGTCCTAATTGTTGGTGGCGGGAGGGCACGATGGAAGGCAAGGCCTTCTTCCCCTAGGAGCCCCAGCCATACAAAGTACTGGCTGCAGCACAGCTTCTGAGTCTCCCGCCCCCAGATTGACGAGCTGGTGGCGACAAGCCAGGGCCCGGGCCGCCCCCTCCCCCGCCCCGGCCCCGCAGGGCTGAGCGCGGTTTAGCACTGACTGAGCTCAGGGGGCGGTGCCTTCAGGAATAGAAACTCAGCCAAGGGGGAGGGGGAAAGGGAGAGAGAGAGGAAGTCGCATTCCGGGCTATAAAAGGACTGCCTGGGCAGCCCGTTCCTTGCATTCGCTGGAAAGCAGCACTGAGTTCTTGTGACTGCAAAGCCGGGGCAAGCAGCAAGGCTGAGAGGTTCAGTGAGCCACAAGGCTGCAAAGACTGAGGCGGGACAGGGGCACCGGGCACTTATCCTCGAGTGGCTTTTTGCCCTGGGACAGTTCTTGTCCCTGCAGTAGCCACCCAACCAGCGCCGGCCCAATTACGAACTGAGAGGAAAACTTCCCGCGCGCCGAGAGAGCTGCAGAGTCTTCTCCCAAGTGACTACAGGAGTGCCGCTGCAGATGGTTCTGCGCTCTATCTCAAAGAATAATACTGATTGTTAACTTTAATAATTCAAAGCAAGACCGACGAGGTTTTGCACTCCTTGCCTGAACAATAGCCCCCTCGTTCAGTGCGCCGCTGCACGCGGTGTCTCCCGGGGCTCAAATACAGACAGCTCTCCACGCGGGGTTCCGGAGGCGTGCGCCAGGCGGCGACATGGGAAACGCAGAGCCAGAATCGAGGCACCGGAGCTGGTCGCCTGTGGCCGCGTTGCTGTTGCTTGCAGTGGCGCTGCTGGCCCTGCCGTGCGTGCGCGGGCGCCCCACCGAGGAAGACGAAGTATTGGTGCTGCCGCTAGTGGAGCGCATCCCAGGACAGGAGACCATGCGCCTGAGCCTAGATGCCTTTGGTCGGCGGCTCCGCCTAGAGCTGCAACCAGACCACGGCTTCCTGGCGCCCGGTTTCACACTTCAGACCGTAGGGCGCCGACCAAGGTCCGAGGCGCTGCATTCGGAGCCCGTCGGCGACTTGGCACATTGCTTCTACTCTGGCACGGTGAACGACGACCCCGGCTCGGCCGCTGCTCTCAGCCTCTGTGAAGGCGTGCGTGGTGCCTTCTACTTGCAGGGTGAGGAATTCTTCATCCAGCCGGCTCCTGCTCCAGCCACCGTGCGCCTAGCCTCCGCGGGCGCCGAGGAAGAGCCTCTGCAGCAACCACAGTTCCACCTCTTGCAGCGGAGGCGGCGAGACGGCGGCGGCGGAGCCAAGTGCGGGGTCCTGGACGAGGAAACCTTACCCCCGAGGGGTGCAGGACCCAAGGGTGAAGATGAGGGGGCTCAGTGGCCGCAGCAAGGCCGCAGCGCGCCGCAGCGCGCCGACCTGCCAACAGGTACCAGCCTGCGAAGAGTTTTTCCTTCTTTTCTTTTCAGCTTCTCCCCCTACTTACTTCCTCCATCCGAAGCAATGCGAGGGCGGACTCCTGCAGTCAGGATGGAAATCTGGAGTGCAGGAATGTAATCGGAGTTTCAAATTGGTGAACTCAGGGTTCATCAAATTCTACTAGGAAAATTAATTCCGCTTACCTAAGTAATGAATGATCAAGAGAGGGCAAAGAAATCTATGACTTTCTGCATACTAGGGTGAAATGTTTGGACCCTGAAGGGAGACTTGGTTAACCCCACACTTCCCTCCTTAATGGAGTGCTTTAATGCTACTTAGCCTGTGAGCGAGGGACTTCTTTCCGTCTCCTTTAATCTGTGTGTGTGCTCTTTCATCCACTTGCGATTTTGCGCGGCCTTCCGTAACTGCTGCCTATGCTTACGCCCTGCGCCCAGAGAAGGGCGGAGTTGGAGAGGATAAGTGGGGGCCGCTGGTCTCTGTGGAATAGCAGCCCAAGGCCCTGTAATGCAGGCCTTTGTCCCCTCCCCTTGGTTAAGAGGCTGACAGTGACCAACTGGTGGCTTTCAGGCCTCTCTGTAGAACCTGCGTGGGAGGTCTTCACCCAGCTAGCTCCACCCCTTCGCTCCGCCCCTGGGCCTCCCAGTTTGCGCTCCCTATTGCGGCCATAATTCTGCTCCTCTGAGCACAACCCTACATTCTTACCAAACCTTTACATAGTTCTTGGCTAGCTGGCTTCCTCCCTAAGTCTTACCAATCTATCACATTTTGTCTCTTCTTACTTGTTAACAAAGTCTTGCTATAGGCTCTTCCCTCTTTTACCCTTGGGGGATCTGCTCCTTGAAGAGTTTATTTGCTCACAACCTAGTTTAGAAATTCCCGAGGGACTCGGTGTCCATCCGTAGACTTAGGGCTCTTTTCCAGATAAGCAATCATGAGCTCAGGCAGGAATTTTCTTTCCCTGGGCTGTTGGTAATAAGGCAGTAGGCTGATGGGCTGTGTGGGTGGTCCTTGTGCCCTGAGTTGGTGAGAGCACACGCCCCAGGGACCCCTGGAACAAGAGCGCAGAGCAGATTCCTGCAGGCCAGGCCCCTTGGCGGCCGCCCCAGCCCAGCCCAGGGCTTTCCACGTGGAGCCCGATGATCTCATTCAGGGTTTGAGTCGTGGCCTGTGAGAGAGTGACTCAGGGGCTCTGCCTGCTGCCTATGCCCCAAGTTCTTACTACAGGTGGGGAAGAAAATGTGCCTTATTCAGAGAGGAGGAATCAAAAAAGGGCCAACCTCCAGATACCCTAAAATATACTCTGACACCTCAAAGAAGGGCCAGGACTCTTTGTTTAAAGAAAAGAAGAAAACGTAAAAAATAAAAAAAAAAAAGGTATTATTTCCAAAGAAAAAGATATGTAAATATTTTTATTATAGGCCTTCCAGGTGTATTTTTGTTTTGTTTATTTGCATTGACTGGTTAGGCTTTCCTTGTATACTCTGCAAAGGTAACTATTTTTAGATAACCTGCTCATGAGTAAATGATCTTTCTTGCCTCCTTACAGGAACTGGAAACATAAGAAAGAAACGTTTTGTGTCCAGCCCCCGCTATGTGGAAACCATGCTGGTGGCTGACCAGTCAATGGCAGAGTTCCACGGCAGTGGCCTGAAGCACTACCTCCTCACCTTGTTCTCTGTGGCGTCCAGGTTATACAAACACCCTAGTATTCGGAATTCAGTTAGCCTGGTGGTGGTGAAGATTCTGGTCATCTATGAGGAACAGAAGGGGCCAGAAGTGACCTCTAATGCTGCTCTGACACTGCGAAACTTCTGCAGTTGGCAAAAGCAGCACAATCCACCCAGTGACCGCGATGCTGAGCACTATGACACAGCCATTCTTTTCACCAGACAGGTGAGCAAGATGATGGTCCACTTAGACTATTCTGCTTTGTACAGCAAATACATATTTAAAGAATTATTACCAGTGCTTTCCCACATAGATTATATCTGTGCAAGTTCCACCAACCCCTCCAAAAAGGAAAGCTCAGTGCTAATGAACATAGATGCTCCAACACATATATGAAGACACCAGCTTTCAAAAAGTTAGACCCCAAGACTCATGCCCTGCCCCTATGAATAAGGATGCACCTCTTTTCCTCCTAGGACCTATGTGGTGCCCAGACGTGTGACACTCTGGGGATGGCTGATGTTGGAACTATGTGTGACCCCAGCAGAAGTTGCTCAGTCATAGAAGATGATGGTTTACAAGCTGCCTTCACCACAGCCCATGAATTAGGTAATTTCATTTCTCAGTAAGAGATAAACCCAACTAATAAACATATTGGACATAAATTGATTTAAAAGGGAGAGTCTGCAAGGACTAAGCTGGCTATTTTAGATGTGAAGTCTCTCCTTAGAAATTGCTGAAAATGGTTTTTCAGTTATGACAATTGTCTTATTCTAATAAAAAGTAATATGATAGGAGCTGTGGACATTTGGATGAGCCCTGATGCTGCAGTGGTTAAAGCACCCAACTGCTAACAGAAAAGTTGACAGTTCAACCCCACCACCAGCTACTCCTGGGGGGTGGGGGAGAATGAGGCACTCTGCTCCCATAAAGATTTACAGCCTTGGAAAATTTATGGGACAGTTCTACTCTGTTCTCTGGGGTTGCTATGAGTCTACATTGAATCAGTGGGAGTGGCTTCGGGTTTGCAAATATAATAAGGTTTAAATGTGTTCCTTAATAAGGATTTTATCCAAAAATTCTAGGGAGCTCTGGTGGCTCAGTGGTAAGGCGCTGTGCTGCCGTACCATATGGTTTGACTCCACTAGCTTCTCTGTGGGAGAAAGGCTATCTTGCTCCCTGTGACTTATTCCCTCTGAAAACACACTGGAGGGTCTACAATGGGACGGTTCCAGCACAGTACACAAAACAACTAGTTATATTGCTTTAAGACAACTGACTCCCTGTTGGGGAAAAAAATTCTGGGAATGACCAGTTCTGATGTGGGTTTTGGATTGCTTCCTAGGCCACGTGTTTAACATGCCGCATGATGATGCAAAGCAGTGTGCCAGCATTAATGGCGTGAACCGAGATTCCCACATGATGGCGTCAATGCTCTCCAACCTGGACCGCAGCCAACCCTGGTCTCCCTGCAGCGCCTACATGATTACATCATTTCTGGATAATGGTCATGGTGAGACGCCCAAACCACTTTTTCTGCAGGCATTCCTACTTCCAAGTGTAGGGTTCTAGTTCACATGAACTTTCCTCTCCCTCTCCCCTCTTATTTTTTTTTTTTTTTGGTCCGGTTTTTTTTAGTACACACTCATTTTTGTGTATTTGAAAATAACTGAAACCAGTTTCATGAAACCTTACCCTTTCAATACTTGATCCATTTTGATGTTTTCTGGTTTTTTTGTTGTTGGGTTTTTTAGTCTGTTTGGGGTTTTGTTTTTTGTTTTCTTTTGTTTTGTTTTGTTGTTTGTTTGTTTGTTTTTATACTGTCTTATTTACAAAGTTCGAATACATTCATTTTCAAACTGGATCTTTTCCATTTCTTTCACTCCCCCTTTACACATAAAATTGTTTGACCCTATGATTTCCTCACCTCCCTGCTTCCACCTCAGCCCCACCTTGGATCCTCATAGTCATTCTACAGTAATGGTTTTTATATAGTATTTGTCCTTATGGGACTGAGTTAGTTCACTCAGCATAATGCTTCTCAACCCCTCCCAAGTTATGTAGTAATTTACAAAGTCATTGCTCCTGTGTGCTGCATAGTATTCCATTATGTGAATGTACCATAGTTTCTCAATCCATTTGATTGTGGTTCAATATTCCATATTCTTGCAATGGTGAATAATGCCGCTTTGAACATTGGTGTGTAAGTCTTCTTTTGTGCCTCAGTTTTCATTTTCTCACAGTATTATTCTAAGCAGTGAAATAGCTGGGTCATATGTACAGCTTTTTGAGGGAGCACCAAACTGCCTTCCAGAGCTGTACTATTTTAGAATTCCACCAACAATGTATAAGAATTCCTATCTCACCACATCCTCTCTTATTACTTGCAGTTCTTTTAATTTTACCTCTTTAAAAATTACCCTTCACTGTCATTTTAGATCTTAATTTCCAATAAAGTATTGAATAGGTCCCAAAGTAGATGAATTCAAATATTTGGCAGAACAGTCATTTCAAAGCATTATTGATGTAGAAATAATTCGAGGTGGGGGGGCCCACAGGTAATGTCACACAATACTTTTTCCAGCATTGTGTTCAAAAGTATTCGTCTTTCAACTCAACTTTAAATGACCCGACATAATAAGTATCCTCTAAAAAAGTGTTCTATCTCCTGAATGCTTTCATTTATTCACCACTGGCTGGCATTTTCTTTGTAGGAGAATGCTTGATGGACAAGCCTCAGAACCCCATACAGCTGCCGTCGGACCTCCCAGGCACCTTGTATGATGCCAACCGGCAGTGTCAGTTTACATTTGGAGAGGACTCCAAGCACTGCCCCGACGCGGCCAGCACGTGCACAACGTTGTGGTGTACAGGCACCTCTGGCGGGCTGCTGGTGTGTCAAACCAAACACTTTCCTTGGGCAGATGGGACCAGCTGTGGAGAAGGGCAGTGGTGTGTCAGTGGCAAGTGTGTGAACAAGACCGACGGGAAGCATTTTGATGTGAGTTTTTCTACTGAAGTGTATTCATGTTCCTTTAAATGTTGGCATTGGAAAGAACAGCCCCTCCAGGAAAAAAATTTAAAATACTGGCCACTGAGTTAGTTCCATCTCGTGTTTCAAACTTGAACTGTGCTCCAGAATCATGGTCAAATATTAGATACCAAACCTAACACCACAGTCTGCATCCTTCTGTAGGGATGGAAGACTGTTTATAATTGGCTTAGTGTCCCATCATTTTCCCCCCCTTTCATTCCCTAAATATTCTCTTTGCTGAATTCTAATGCTAAGTGTTTATGCTCCCATTTAGACTCCTGTTCATGGAAGCTGGGGACCATGGGGACCATGGGGAGACTGCTCGAGGACCTGTGGTGGAGGAGTTCAGTATACAATGAGAGAATGTGACAACCCCGTTCCAAAGAATGGCGGGAAGTACTGTGAAGGCAAGCGAGTGCGCTACCGGTCCTGCAACATTGAGGACTGTCCAGACAACAACGGTGAGTGGAAATGGACTCCAGCTTTGAGAATGGGTGGAAATGATGTGTCCATAAACAGGCAGATAAAGTTTGGAAACTGGTATCATCACCTTTTCATTGTCTTTCCAGGAAAAACGTTCCGAGAGGAACAATGTGAGGCACACAACGACTTTTCAAAAGCTTCCTTTGGGAGCGGGCCTGCTGTGGAGTGGACGCCCAAGTATGCTGGCGTCTCCCCAAAGGACAGGTGCAAGCTCATCTGCCAAGCCAAAGGGATTGGCTACTTCTTCGTTTTGCAGCCCAAGGTAGTTACCTTTACAACTATTATGTGCCTATGAGTTAAGGCCTTGACTTGCTACCTTTTTATATTCAACCTTTGATAGACCCTTTAATTTCTATCAGAATTTATGTTCCATTTCCAAGTGGCAACTGACGACTTTGAGTTTGATTCATCCCAACACTTGTGATTCTTCCAATTCTAATTGCTTATTAATACTCTTCTGTACAAAGAACAGGGAGCTTTGGTGGCCTAGTGTTAAGAAACTCAAAGGCACGAACGACATTCAAATCTGCCAGCTGTTCTGAGGGAGAAATATGGGCAGTTTCCTTCCCTGCAATTTACTGCCTCTGAAAATTCGCTGAAGGGCCAGCTATGGGTCAATTCCGACTCATGGCACATGGCAACAAGATAAAAAAAAAAAAGAAAAAAACAACAATAACCTTGATGATGCAATAGTGAAGTTCTCAGCTGCTACCCAGAAAGATGGCAGTTCAAGTACACCCACTGGGTATAATGGGCAAAACCCTGGTGATTTTCCTTACAAAGATTATAGCCAAGAAAATCGTATAGGGCAGTTATTCTCTAGTTGGTACAGGTCAGAATCTATTTGATAGCACTTAACAATACAGAAGACCATAGAAGAATCAATGTCTTTGAATTGTGGTATTAGAGAATAGTATTGCATATCCCACAGACTCAAAATAACAAACATATCTGTCTTGAAGGACTTGCAACCAACAAAATGCTCCTTAGAAGCAAAGATAGTGAAATTTTGTCTTACAAACTTTGCACATTTTGTCAGGATGGGCTCATCCTCTGGAGGGGGGGAAGAAAGTCAGTCTAGGGAAAAAAGAAAGAATTTAGCAAAAAAAGGAAGATCCTCAATGAGATGGACTGACATAGTGACTGTAACAATGAACTTGAGCATGATGGGGATTGTGAGGACGGCACAGGAGGGCAAGCTTCCAGTCTTTTGTTCATAGCATTGCTACTAGTAATAGTTAATTCAGCATCAGCCAATATACAAAGAAAAGCCCTTTGGAAAATGAAGTGTTCCTCTGTATAATTAGGTCTCACATACACCTCATGGTTTGATAAATTATTTATTAACACAGAAGTCAGTGATCCTGGAAAATCGTTTAGGCATAATCCAAAGTACGTGTTACTGTGTCACTAGCCAGGAGGAACATGTTAGAGAACCTTACTAAAAGGGGAGCCTGAACACTGATAAGACATTGGAGGGTATATGTAAAATCATAGAAGTATCTTATCATTTGCTATTTTATTAGAGGAAGAAAAAAGGGGGGGAATGTAATTTAATTTGATGGAGACTATCGTGTCATTAGCATGGTAATGAAAATATTTCCAAATTGGAGATTGAACATATTAAACCTCTATTGTTGCTGGGTGCTATTCTATTGAGGATATACAGTAATAAACAAATAGATTAAAAGCCCTGCTTTCATTGACCTTAGATAAAAAGTAAAGGACAGTTAGCAAAAACAGGATGACAGAGTTGTGTTCTTTAAGATGTCTAAGTACTATGCTTTGGTGATGCAAATGTTTAGTGTGTTTGGCTGTGAACAAAATAATGAAGGTTCAAGTCCATCTTCATTTCTTTGAGGTGCCTAGGGAGACTGGGCTTGCAATTTGTTGAGATATTTTGTGGTTGGTTTTTTTTGTTTTTTTTTTTTAAACCTGTCCCTGAAAATCTCAATTGAGGCCAGTTCTGTTGTGACACATACAGTGTTGTCCTGAGCCAGAAGCAAACTAAAGGCAGTCAGTGACGTTGGATGGGTGCTACAGTTATAAATCACAAAGGAGAGAGTAGGTCATGTGTCTGGAGGGTACTGTTTTAATGAGGCTGGTCTGGAAAGCAGAGAATGAATTTTAAGGGGGAAAACTTAGTCATCATTTCATCTTTCTCCTTTGTTAATGTGTAACAATAGCATGTGTTCTTCTTTCCAGGTTGTAGATGGTACTCCATGTAGCCCAGATTCCACCTCTGTCTGTGTGCAAGGACAGTGCGTAAAAGCTGGTTGTGATCGTATCATAGACTCCAAAAAGAAATTTGATAAATGTGGCATTTGTGGAGGAAATGGATCTACGTGTAAGAAAATATCAGGATCTGTGACTAGTGCAAAGTAAGTCTGAAAATGACCTGTTCTCAAAGATCTTATAATTTACTTGGAAGTTTTATTACAGATCTCAAAAGAAATGCTTTAAAGTCCTCACTTATCTTCACTTGAAGCATTTAGCTTGTGAATGAGGGGTAATTGTGTCTATTTGTCTTTGCCTGCAGACCAGGATATCATGACATTGTCACAATTCCAGCTGGAGCCACAAACATTGAAGTGAAACAGAGGAATCAGAGGGGATCCCGGAACAATGGAAGCTTCCTTGCCATCAAAGCTGCTGATGGCACATATATCCTTAATGGTGACTTTACTCTGTCCACTTTAGAGCAAGACATTACCTATAAAGGTAGTGTCTTGAGGTACAGTGGCTCCTCGGCAGTGCTGGAAAGAATTCTCAGCTTTAGTCCACTCAAAGAACCTTTAACTATCCAGGTTCTTACTGTGGGCAATGCCCTCCGGCCTAAAATTAAGTATACTTATTTTGTGAAGAAAAAGAAGGAATCTTTCAATGCTATCCCTACCTTCTCCGAATGGGTCATTGGAGAGTGGGGCGAATGTTCCAAGTCATGTGGATCAGGGTGGCAGCGAAGAGTGGTGGAATGCATGGACATCAATAGAAAGCAGGCCACAGAGTGTGCCAAGGAAGTGAAGCCAGCCAGCACCAGGCCCTGCGCGGAAGTGCCCTGTCCACACTGGCAGCTGGGAGAGTGGTCCCCGTGCTCTAAGACTTGTGGGAAGGGTTACAAAAAGAGAACCTTAAAGTGTCTGTCCCATGATGGGGGCGTGTTGGCTCATGAGAGTTGTGATCCTTTAAAGAAACCTAAACATTACATAGACTTTTGCACACTGGCAGAATGCAGTTAAGCAGAGTCAGTAATGAGGGAAAAGCCAAGTGTGGAAGGGCTGATGCACTGGAATCAAGAAGGCTGGAGAGTCCCAATGTACCTTGCAGGTCAATGAGGAGTGTTAGTTAGATGGGGGCTGGGAAGTAGACGGCAAAGACGTTAGAGATCATGTGCATATCCTGCCATTTGCAAATTTGATAGACTAGTTAATGAAGGCTATTAAAAGATGAAAAAAAGCCCAGAGTATGATAATTATGTCTTGTTACATCTATAACAAGTTTAAAAAGGGAGGAAAAGCCAAAATAAATTAACAACCCCTGTGTCATGGTACTAATTAAATTCTTTGTATCATGGAGCTTGGGGAATGGAAAGACAAGAGTTAGAGATTAAAGCCTGGCCTGTTTTACCTTGCTGACCGAGGGAGAAGGGAATACAAATTGGATCTCTTACAAGCCTTGATTATGGCTGCTCGAGTTTCCCAGATTTCCTACTCTCCTAAGAGTTGAGATTGTCCAGCCTGAGAGATACATGCTCAGCAAACTGAAATGGCTCAAGCGGCTTCATCTGTACCTTTTTGTATCATCTTCACCTTTATTTGTGTAATTAATTTTGATGAAGTAATTGCATGTAGCTTGTAAGAATGTGTTAAGTAGACAAGAGGCAGAAAGGAAGCAGGGGGGCATCAGGTGCTGGGAGGAGCTGGAGGCGCATCCACATGCTTGGCACCTCTCACTTCCTCTTCAATAGGCCCACGTTAGGAACGCGCATGTAAAGAGAACCGTGTGTCTCAGATCTCACTAAAAGAATGTAATGCCGGAATAAGAATAGTGTGTGGGGAACAGGTCCCGCGTGTTTGGGGACATGGAGATCACTTGTCTCATGTTAAGAGGCTGCTGCGGGGTAGCAGGTCCATCCCTAGAAGCTGTTCCAACAGTCATATCCTGGTGAATGTCTGTCCAGCTCTTCAACCATGATAGAAAATATGTCTTTTTCCATATGTATATAGTAAGCTATGTGACTAGAAATTATATATACTTTATAAGTATTGATCTGTGTGCTCCTTCTAAGAAGGTCTGTAATAAATGCCTATATGAACATATTTATTTTTATACTTTCTTTATAATGATAAATCTTTTAAGTTATACCTCTTTTGTAATAGGACATATAAAATAGAGTATTTATGCAATATATGTTACTAGAAATAATAAAAACACTTTTTGAAATTGCATGTCTAATCTTGTTAAATGGGGATTAGTTCCTGAAAAGAAATCTGAGATAGAGGTTCTGAATTTAATAGCTAAAGTATGGTTTTACTTGAGGATTTCTCTCCCTAATTTGTATAATTTCTAAAAAGAAAGCACAAATATCTTTTGTAAGAATGGATTTGCCTCTAATGCATCTAATATTATACACCTGTGAACAGCAAACTCCTACCAAGGGTCACATAGAAAACATTTTTCGTTTTCGGGGTGCCACAGGGTCTATTTCAGTATGGAAGTTGACATAAACCACACACAAATGAATAGGGATGACAACATTCTATCAAAACTTAAAAAAAAAACAACCCAACCCACCAAGTAGTAGATCAGCTCTGTACTGTGGACATAGTTTCTTGACTATTAATGTGTACTGTAAATTAAATGCAAAAAGAATAGGAACCTGGAGGCATTTTTAATTTTGGGTTTTTTTCCCCTCAGTTACATCATATTCCTTTTACTTTAAAGTAGAAATATTTACATTAAGTGGAAATAATACCTCATGAATTACATTTGGAATGCAGATATACAGTGAGTCAAAGCCCCAAAATTTTTAGCTTGCTTATCGGGAGTACTGTGAGCCCTTTGGAAAAACCCTGGAATATTCATATCGCTGTGCCTGCTGGGTTCATGAATGACTTCCAACATTCACTCTGCTTCCATACTAAACAATTCTCTCATGAAATAACTTGTTTACTGGATGACAACATAATTAATCACACACAATCCCTAGTTGCTAGTTTTTATCCTTTCTGACACTAGAAAGAACAGCTTTTCTCAGGTAGTTCCACCAATCATTTACTTTTACTGCTATGAACCCATTCTAATTCCTAGAAACCCTCCACTGGACTTTCCAGGCTGTAAAACTTACTGGAAGGAGACAGCCCATTTATTTAATTTTTTTTTTTCTTGCAGAGATACTGTTGTATTCAAACCAGCCTTTTGAGTTAATGTAACATGTTACTGACTGCCACCAGAGCTCCCTATATAACATGATATCTCAGATTCAGATAATCTCTGGTTACCCCTCAGTTTGCCAAATATATTCTGAGGAACAGAATATAAGACTTCTGGGTGCACAGTTGGGAAGGGATAATGAAGATCAGGGAAGAAAAGAACCAAGTTAGCTTCTGGGCCATGGGACTAAAAGGGAAGAGTCAAATTGAAAGATCTTGAAAACTCTTCTTGGACCCACAAAACTTGCTTTAGCATAGAATTTGGCAGCAGAACTCATTGGTTTAATGTACCATTTACACTAACATCGTCAAACATGACTATTTGCTGATATCACAACCGTGGTCCACAGCCCCACAGTAAGTGATATAGAGAAAGTACACACTTGAGGTCAGACTCCTTACCTTTTCAACATATATGCAGAACAGATTATCCGGGAGGCTGGGCTTTATGAGGAGAAATGTGGGGTGAAGATTGGTGGACGATTTATCAACAATCTGCGTTATGCAGATGACACAACCCTGCTTGCTGAAACTGAGGAGGACCTGAAGCGCCTGCTGCAAAGTGTCAAGGACTGCAGCCTACAATATGGATTGAGGACCAATGTCAAGAAGACAAAGATTCTCACCACTGGACCAATTGGCAGCATCAGGATGGATGGTGAAGAGACTGAGATTGTACACAGCTTTAGTTTGCTTGGCTCCATAGTCAACAGTCTTGGCACCAGCAGCCAGGAAATTAAAAGGTGCATTGCCATGGGAAAGTCTGCTGTTAGGGACCTCTCCAAAGTACTGAAGAGCAATGGTGTCTCTCTGGAGACTAAAGTGCGTCTGATACAGGCCATGGTCTTCACAATCACTTGTTATGCATCAGAGAGTTGGACAATGACCAAGGAAGATAGAAGGAGAATTGATGCCTTTGAGCTGTGGTGCTGGAGAAGAGTATTGAGAATACCATGGACTGCTAGGGAAACAAACAGATTCATCCTGGAAAGGGTTAAACCGGGTGGCTCCTTGGAGGCAAGGATTCTGAGGCTCTGTCTAACATACTTTGGACATGTTGTGAGGAGAGACCGGTCCTTGGAGAAGGACATCATGCTTGGGAGGGTGGAGGGACAGCGCAGGGGGGGAAGGCCCTCTATGAGGTGGATTGATTCAGTGACTGGGATAATCAGGATGGGAGTATCAGAGACAGTGTGATTGACACAGGATGGAGCAGGGTTTAGGGCTGTTGTACATAGGGTCGCTATGAGTCGCAAGCGACTTGATGGCACATAACAACAACAACAACACACCTGAGTGTTCTTGCCCTCAGTTACTATACTAGCTATTTGAGAAAATGAGATAAAATTAACCAAAATGAAAACCAATCACATAAAGACGTCACTTTAGAACATTGCCTATCTCATGGGTGCATTCTCCATTCTTTACCTATAAGAAGCTTACCTTGATTTGATGGAGCAAGCCAGGAAGCAGAAGTTCAGAAATGAAGAAAAAAAAAGATTTTCAAATGTCTTTTCCCCCCTCAGTCCAAAGAAATGGCCAAAATCTCTTCAACATTGCTGCATAATTTTTTAATCAGTACCCTGAGGACTTTAAGATTCTCCATATATTGGCAGCAAATAGATGTGTTCAATATGCAAAGCCTGGTCCTGTAGACTTAACCAAGCACCTATATATAAAGGAACCATAGTTTTGTTTTGTTTGTTGGTTGTTTTTTTTTTTTCTTGATCTTTCAAATTCTAGTTAAAAATGAGAAGCTGAGTGGAGCTTAAGGAGCTATGGTGACTTAATAGCAAATAACTCCTGTGCTAGTTAATGCCTCTGACAACCCATTAGAGTCCATACACAGCAACAACAATCAATCAAATACCTTACAGGAGAAGTACACAATCCTATCATTCTAATAACCACCAAGAAAGAGCAATTTTAGATCAGAAATATCATAGAATAATTGGCAAATATTCTTTCTGGTCCTTGCTCCTATTTCTTCCCTTTTGGAGAAGGGCATTATGGATATTACTGAGGATGGACAACAATTAAGACTTGTTGACCTTATTCTGGTTTCTCGAAACAAACTTAACTGGCATTAACAGCTTAGTGTTTAAAATGGCTTTCCTACTCCTTGAATTTTATTTTGCCATGTGAATGGGTAGAAATATACAAACAGGGCATGTTAGCCTATCCATAAGGGGATCGACTAGTCTCACCAGTCCATAAGAAGATTGACTACTCTCATTATTAAATTGAGCAGATCCAGCAGAAGAAAAAGAGAAACTTCAACACCAGCAAAGAAGAAGCAAGAGAGTATCATATGCCCTTCAGTATCAGGGTTTTTTGCACCAGCCAGCCTAGGGGTCTATGGGAGAAACAGCTATAGCAGCTGCAGTGAAGAATCAGAGACCTGGCATGAGACAGAGTGGACCTTGACACTTCCAGGCCCCAACAGAACCAGAGCTAAGAACCTTTGCCCAAGTTTATTGGAGGACTAGGGGGAGGGGGAAAGCCAAGATTGGCAGGACTGACAACTTTGTAACACTGGCCCAATGCCTCAAAGTTCAAGGCTCAGGCATCCATGGGCACATTTTAAGCACTGTCCTGACTGTATTCTGCTACTAACCTGAATGATAGACTTTTGACTTCCCCGCCATGGTTTTGTGTGGTCTGTGAGCTCTCACATTGGATTTTGGACCCAGTAAAGCACTAAGATTGGTGTTGGAGTGAGTAGAAAGAGATGTGGGAATGTGAGGAATATGTCTGGCCTCATGAAAATTGATTTTGTATTGTTGATGTTGTTGACAGGGACAATTCCCCTTTGTGAAGTTGGTAAAAGTCAGATATGACCATCCCCATGTAGTCCTTGCTCTTTTTACATCAACTTAAATTCATTGCCATTGGGTCAGAACTGACCCATAACTCTTTAGCAGGTTTTCAGGCACTATAAATTACATGGAGAGCTCTGGTGGCCTAGTGGTAAGAAGCTGCCCTGCAATCCCTAAGGTATTTTGAGGCCACCAGCTGCTCCATGGGAGAAGGATGGGCAATCTCCCCCCATGTCATTAAATGTCTCTGA